CATGAGGGTATGATCTTGGACTCCTTGGACACCCAGCAGAGAAGTTGGGCTGCTTAGTCTGAGAGTTTCAGCATGGGAGGCAGCAAGAGCTGGAACCCGAAGATCTGACTAGGCCTTGATCCTCTGACTCTCTTTCATTTGCAGCAGATGACTCAGCTGTGTCTGCCCATGCATGAACATCTAGAGCAGAGAAGTAACATCCTCCATATAACTACCCTATGGGTGATCTATAAGACAGATCAACTGACCAGTGAGGATCCTGAAGCCTTGGCAGAAACCACTCAGAGGTTAAAGGAAGGTGTAGCAGGCACCTTAAAGACCAAGTTAGAATCTTTAGGTTCAAAGAAAAAATTGTACTGAAGTTCAGGTTGGAAATAGGATTGACAGGGAAGCAGCAATTCCAGCACCTCAACTTGCCTGAATCCAGAGCTGGTACCCAAGCCTGCGGTACCGGCTCAAAACAGGTTGGTGTCTCTTCTTTGGAGGAGGGCAAATGAAGCTAGGGGAGATGAAGCATTCATTCCACTGAGACAGTAGTTCCAAACATAGTCACTCTTTTAATGTTGAGAATTTTGCTTGGTGCTCATGGAGGTTTTTAGAGTTGTCTGGGATTCTTTATCTTAAAAGTCCCACAAGAACGATGATTCTCTTTTTGTTTTTTTTTCTTTTTGGGTCACACCCAGCTATGCACAGGAGTTACTCCTGGCTCTGCACTCAGGAATTACTCCTGGCGGTGCTCAGGGAACCATATGGGATACTGGGAATTGAACCCAGGTTAGCCGCATGCAAGGCAAATGCCCTACCTGTTGTACTATCACTCCAGTCCCAAGAATGATGATTCTTAAATATGTATATTCCAAACAGGAAATAAAACAATTGAATGAATCAAACAAGCGCCAGGGGAGGCCAGGTGACCCCGAATCTATACAATAAGCAAGCAATAGAAGAGTAAGGATTTCCTTGGAAAGAGATGACAGGCAAGCTCTCAGAACTCCCTTAGCAGGTCTGCCCTTATTAGATTACATTAAATAGTATAATTTTACTAGGTTACCGAAGCCTAAATACAGTCAGGAGGCGCACCTACTTCCCTGGACTGGAGAGGAAAACCTGACCTTATTTTTAAGATGCTATGGGTCTTGTAGCTGCTATTCAAGTCACCAACTTCAATATCTTATCGCTGTGTTTCAAGAGTGTGTTACAGAGAATAGATGGGTAATCTCATGCCATGAAGTTATCTCTGTAAACCTGTGACTGGTATCCTTCTAGAGCTAGAAGTGCCAGCTAGAATAAGATGGCACTGGGATCTCCTAAGAAGAGGATGAGCACCTGATAGCACATGTCCATCTTATCACACTCCCCTATTTGGGCTGTACAATTAATTTCCTGGTTGGGGACTAGTCTCTTTCTTCTTGCAATTTTCAGATAATTAGTATGCCAAAAGACTCTGTAAAGGAAGGAAAAGGAAAAAACCCAACAGAGTAAGAAAAGAATGAAAATCAAGGTAGACTACTGATTTAGGATAAAGAACACACACATAGATCTTAGTTTTAATTTTACTTTGGCTCTAATGGGGAAAAATTATTCAAAGAAATCTGAGACCTCCCCGCCCCAAGGGACCCAGCCCCAGCAGCTGAAAACCTCCAGAACTCAACTCCCACCATGCTCACAGCCTCTCTCCACACGTTCGAATCCATGAGTGAATTCTCAAAAAACCCAGGTATGCAGGACTTTGTGACTGAAAACTTTGGGTTCAACAGAACTGTGAACAGGGATCCTCCACCCATATCCCCGTTTCCAGCAACTCAGCAGTCACGTCTATAAACTACATCTGGCTGGTGCCAGATAATCTCGTCATTGGTCACCATCCAGAGTTGAACGTCCTTCTTTACCAGAAGGGAGCATAACACCACATGAGCCATAACCATGCTGCTGGGTCTGAGCTGGGCTTTTTCACTTGGGGTGCCCCAGAGGGGGGAGGGCGAGACCCCTATGCCCCAACACTCAACCTGGCAGCTGAAAACCTCCAGAACTCAACTGCCACCATACTCACAGCTGCCCTCGACACTCTCAGGCTGAGCCTCACCCATGAGTGAACCTATTCCTGGACCGTGTGGCTGCAAATGCGGCTGCACGACAACTCATATCTTACACCACCCATAGTCCAAGAGTACCACACCACATTTGATGGGGTTTAAAGTAAGAGGAATATTAGAGATAAATATATATTTTTTACCGATTACATATAATCACACGGCTAAACCTTTAACAACACGTTAGTGATCTCTTATAGAAGGACTTACTGGTCCTGAGTGAAGTACAACAATCTTCACACTCCTTGCTTTAAGGAAACTTTTTTGTAGCATTTTCAGGGTTTTTCATAACAAACAATACAAAATAAATTATTTTGGTTCTGATTTGGGGCAGGGGTTGGGTTTCAGGATGGAAACATACAAAATATGGTGGTGGGAAGGTATAATGGTGGTGGGATTGGTGTTTGAATATTAAATGTAATCAAATATTGTGAACTACTTTATAAAATAAAATAATTTACAAAAAAACTTCTAAAAAATCTGAGATCCAGTTTCCTTCTCTAGTTACATGAGGATATAAATATTTATGCAGAGAGATGTGAAGACGTGAATGAGTTATCTTAATCTGAGCTGCCTAAACAACCTGGCCCCATCCCACTGTACACATATAAGTTGGGAATTTAAAGAACATGAATTAATAACCTCATGATTCTGGGATCTACAAGATTGACATGCCTGCAATGAGCAGGTTCTGGGGGGAGCCCTCTATTCACTCTACCTCCACAGGGAGGGGAGACTTTGCTGCACACATCCTTTGGCGTCCCTCCTTCTAAGGTCATTCATCTCATCATCAGCTGCCCCCTTCCATAACTAGATCTCCCCCCAAAACTTACAAAGCATTGGTGGTACAGTGGTGATCATAGCTGCCTTCCAAAAAAACTCACAAGGCTGCATCTCCAAAGGCAATCATGTTGAGGGTGGAGGGCCTGCACAGGTGAACTCAAAGGAGGCAGAAAGCATAAAACCACCTCTGCAAGGTCTTAGGAAGCATCATGGTCATGGTCATGGTCACAGTCCTCCCGTTGTTCATCCATTTGCTCGAGAGGGTCCAGTAACATCTCCATCATGAGACTTGTTGTTACTGTGTTTGGCATATCGAATATGTCACGGGTAGCTTGCCAGGCTCTGCCGTGTGGGCGAGATACTCTCGGTAGCTTACCAGGCTCTCTGAGAGGGGAGGAGGAATCGAACTTGGGTTGGCCATGTTAGCTGCTTGTAAGGCAAATGCCCTACCGCTGTGCTATCGCTCCAGCCCTCGCTTAGGAAGCATCAGAAGCATATTTCCTGTTTCATTTCAGTAATTACAATTGAGTCTAGTCAGGGAAACGCACTGAGGGGTGCGAACATCTTTATAAACTGATATCTTCAAATAACTTCTGGCAAGTCTTGACAAATTTCAACCATCAGTAAGTACCTCTGATGTTTCTACACAACAAGGAGACCAGAAGATACTGGGACTTAAACTCCACCACCTCTGTTTAAAGAATTCAGCTCAGGTCCACATGCATTCACAAGTGGACTCGATTTGCCTTTCAGAGTCAGTTCCCAGGCATCAATCCTAGAGGTATGGACAGTGTGCCAAAATGCGGTACAAAGAACAGCCCCCCGTGAGATGCAGAAGACCCTTCCAGCAGCAAACCTTCGCATTCCCCAGCCTTTCTGAGTCTCTGTCCAGGTAGGTGGTTAGAAGTCTGAGGACTGTCTGAAAAGCCCCCAGCAATGCTTTTGGTACCTAACCAGGTCACAGTAAGTAGATTGCTATAACTGCTAACCTCTGGGTGCACACCCCAGCTCTCGTCCTGACCCTAAGATCTGGGAAGAGTTTGTCAGTTCCTGACACTGAACCTTTCTGAACTCTCCATTGAGATTTGAGAGGCAGCACTCTTAGCGCTGATACTTAAGAGCTTTTTCCACATAGACCGTTACTTCATTATTTCATTTCTTTACACCTGAAGGTCTTCAAGTATAAATGAGGAGTTCAGAATGAATCGAGGACAAATGGTGAAGTCTGATCCTGAGGAAGAGCTCACCTCACGTAACTGATGTTAATATAAGGAAGCAGCGGGCAGCGTGGCAGGGGGGTAACTACATGCTAGCTTAAAGGTTGGGGATATGCAGTGCTCAAGTCCAGATTCACCTTCGGCAGCTGACAGCAGAGCCAGAGCTCTCGGCCTCTTCCCATCCAGTTTCCTTGACCTTCTGGCCAACATGTTGCTCATATCACTAGTTTCCCAGTGGGTCTCTGTAGAACCCACGTGTGAGGAGTCTTTTGCAATTCAGTGGTAGGGAAAGCTTTGCCTCCCACAAGAAATTAGCATGTTTTCTTTTTTTCTAAAAATAAGAATTGTGCAACAGATCATGTGTTCTCTTCAGTCATGGAAGCCAGAAAGCTGAGAGCCAAACTGTGTGTTCAATCTCTGCCACTGAGTCCCTTCCGCCTTCCTCTATGCTGGTTCCTGGTTTTCCCTTTCAATTCCTGTTCTTGCTAGGCCCACTTGGCATTTGGATCTCTGGGTCGAGTCCTTCAAAGGGGCTTAGGTGGGGATGAGAGAAATACAAATTTGAGATGTGCATGCTCAACTTATGCCGTGCATCTTACCTGTTTGGTCTGTAGACAGACAAAAAAAAATGGTCCAAGAAAAATGCAAATTATTGGGGAGTCAAGCTAAAGGGGGGAAAAAAAAAGGAAAGAAAACCAAGAACAAAACAGAATAACCAACGGGAACAGAGGCCAAGTTCAATTGAAAACTGCAATAAATATGTCTCAAGCCAGAAGCGTTTGTGTGTTCCCTGGCTGGAACCTATCATTGCTTAATTACAGCCTGTGTGTGTTTTGCAAGATGGGAGCTGCCGTGAAGAAGCCGGGCAGCCTCAGACAGGGGAGGGGCCCACCCCTTGGTCCTCACATACCTGTACCGAAGCGAAATCCCCCGAGGCAGAGGCACCCAGAATAGCAGCACCCACCAGAACAGACTCCACCTCTTGAGACAGGACCACGGGCAGGCCTGTGCAGGAAAGGCCACACCTCGGTTAGGGGGCAGGGCTGGGGGAGCCAGCCAACAGCTCCAGCGACAAAAACACCCCACGTGAAGGCATCAGCAGCAGCCTCTCCCCACCCCTGCAGTTGCCCCATTCCGAAGAAGGATTACCTGGTTGTTCTAAAGGGTTTCATGGCGAGCCGGCTGGGGCAGCCACCCAGAAACAACACCGTGTAGTTCAGCTCAGGAGACCTTTTGGCCCGGGCTTCCCAGGCTGCTGCTAGCTGCTACCTGCCATTTGGTTCAAGTTCAGTTCAAGCAACCTGTATTAAGAGCTTGGCTGGGCCCCGGGGAAACAGGGCCGAATCAGACCGGTCCTGCCATCCAGTTCTGAGGGACATGAAGTTCTTTTGTGGGGGAAGGGCAGGGGATAAGGCGTGGGGGTACTCTGGCTGACCTGGACTAAGATAAAGGAAGGAGAAAGAGAGGGTGAGGGCAGCACGGGCCCCTGTCCCAGATCATCTAGCTCCTCTCCTAGATGGAGCTTGTTCTTTTCCTTGCTTTCTTTTCTTGTCTTCTGTGTATGTGTGTGTGTGGTTTTTTTTTTGTTTGTTTGTTTGTTTGTTTTTGGTCATACCCGGCTATGCTCAGGGATTACTCCTGATTACTCCTGGCTCATGCACTCAGGAATTACTACTGGTGGTGCTCGGGGGACTATATGGGATGCTGGGAATCGAACCCGGGTAGGCCACTTGCAAAGGCAAACACCCTACCTGCTGTGCTATCCTTCCAGCCCTGGTTCTTTCTTTTCTTTAGGTGCATGTGTGGGGGGGGATGGGAGGGTGCAGGGGTCAGGGGGGAGAGTTGGGCCACAGCAGCAGTGCTCAGGGCTCACTCCTGGCTCTGCAATCACTATTAACTTGTAGTCTCAGTCTCAGTCACGGTTCTCCCGTTGTTCATCGATTTGTTCGAGCGGGCCCAGTAACATCTCCATCATTCATTCATTCATTCATCATCCTGTTATTCATTGATTGCCTCGAGCAGGCCCCAGTAACGTCTCTTTCATCCTAGCCCTGAGATTATATTCAAGGCTCTTCAGGAGAATGAGACCCATCATTGTTACTGGTATTTGGCATATTTGGTACGCCATGGGGTGTTTGCCAGACTCTGCCCTGTGGGCAGGCTACATTCGATAGCCTGCAAGTTTGTCCAAACTTGCATCTCCATCATGAGACATGTTATTGTGTTTGGCATATTGAGTACGTCACGGGTAGCTTGCCAGGCTCTGCCGTGCGGGCGAGATACTCTCAGTAGCTTGCCGGGCTCTCTGAGAGGGGCGGAGGAATTGAACTCGGGTCTGCCATATTGGCTGCGTGCAAGGCAAATGCCCTACCGCTGTGCTATTGCTTCACTGGTAGTAGGTCCCTATAAATGCTAGGGAGTGGGCCATGGTCAGAGCTGTGCCTGAAATCCCTGACTCTCGAGCCCCCTCCTTGCTCCTTTTATTCAATCATGTCCAGGCACTGGCTCCGCTGGTACTTCAGTCTGGGGCACTTCCTCCCTGGAGTCCCTATGAATACAGCTTCTCTTTCACCTTCGTGCCCATGTTCCCTTCCCTCCTCCATGGCTCTCAGACCCACCCCACTCCCCCGTAATATTTTTGTAGCAGTCCCTTCCGCCACCCTTCCCCCTCCCCACCATGGCTTCCCTCTCTGCTTTCCCATCTTCCCCTGGCGAGCACAGCCCTGTGAGCAGCAGGGACTTGGCGTTGCCCTGGGATGGACAGCAGGAAGCGCTGCCTGAGCACTGGACGTTTCTCCAGGTTGGGGAGTTGAGGGTGAAGCAAGCATCTGAGGGGTGCACTGCGTGGGGTAGGGTGAGCGGAAGGGTGGGGCACGCTGCACACCAGCCCCAAGGTGAAGGGTCCTGGTGAGTGCACAAAGACTGACATCATATGAATTCACAGGATTTCATAAGGATGTTTATAATATATATACACATATATATCACTTGTATTACTTGTCATCCCGTTGCTCATTTATTTACCCAGGAGGGCATCAGTAATGTCTCCATTCATCACTGTCACATGCTAGTGTAGCCCACCGTATGTCACATATATGTATAAACTAAATATCTATTATATATATATATATATATATATATATATATATATATATATATATATGCTTGAGCGGGCCCAGTAACGTCTCCATTGGAGACTTTGTTGTTACTGTGTTTGGCATATCGAGTACGTCACCGGGAGCTTGCCAGGCTCTGCGGTGCGGGCGAGATACTCTCGGTAGCTTGCCGGGCTCTCCGAGAGGGGCGGAGGAATCGAACTCGGGTCGGCCATGTTGGCTGCGTGCAAGGCAAACGCCCTACCGCTGTGCTATATATATATAAACTAAATATACTCGGCAATCAGGAGAGGGCAGCAGACGCCACTGAGGCAAATGCTGAGGCCAGACCCACAAAATCTTCCTCAAGACGTGTGATTTTCACTTCCCCACACGGGAACTTCTCTATTTCAAGGGAAGACTTTCCTGGGCTCCTCCTCCTGCTGCTGGATGAGCCGGCCTGGCCCCCAGACAAAGGAGACAGACAGCAGGTCCCCACCACCTGCCCAAGAAATAGCACCCTCGCTATGCCCCCGCAGACCCGGCACCTGAGACAGAGCTGCAAGGTGTGGAGAGTGGAGGGGTCTCTGGGGAGAGTTCAGCACCTCCAAGTCTGTGTCCTCCTCTTCTTGCCTCAGCTCTCACAGGGAAACCCGAGGCTGATTGACCAGGGATGCTGACACATGGGTGGTCTCTGGTAAGCCTCAAGCCTGGGGGTTGCTGGGTAAGAAGGAAAATGGGGGCTGGGGGGCCCTGGCCACTCGGTTGCACCCTGGAATAGGAAGCATGGGATGGGGCAGGGATCACCCCCTCCCGCTAGGCTCACCCCACCAGGAGCGATCTCTGAGCCAGAAGGAAGACCTGAGCACTGCCGGGTGTGATCCAAACTCCCAATCTCTCCACCCACCCCACCCCCAAAAGAGCAAATCTTAATTTGTAGTGCCCTGGGCCCTGGGTCTCAGGAGGTCAGCCTGTGAAAGAAAGGAACTAACTCATCTTCCCGGTCCCCATGGATCTATCTGTGAGCCAGCTTCTGTTTCCCTTTTCCTATGAAAACTGCTTCCTGTAACCCTACAGTCAGGATGGTTTGTCCTCAGGTTGCTGTCCTCACAGACTGCTGGCCCCTGAGTAAACCTGCTTTTCCTGCTTCAATTCTTGTCAGAGGACATGGATTGGCCTTTGAGCAGTGAGCACCCAAACCTGCTTTGGAGAATGTGCTCACTGGGCTGAAGCTCTGGGGGGTCTCTGCTATCCTGGGATCCCTGCCATCTGTTCCTGTCCCTCAGTCTGAGTGCAAGCCCACTCTGGGCAAGCCCTCCGCTCCCAAGCTGCTGCAGACCTAGGGACTGGGCTGTATGGAGCACATCCGAGGCCTCTGGACTATCCCAGACTCAGGGGGTCAGGTTAAGACTGGGAGCGGCTCAGGGGGCTGGGGTGTCTGCCAGGTGGTCCAGGCCTCTGAGACTCTGTCCACGCCTTTATGGAACATCTCTATAGTGCGACATCTGTTCCCAGTCTGGGCTTGACAAGTAGGGGCACCCCCATCCTACTGCATCCCCTACTGGGCCTCCAGAATATGGGTCAGGGCTCCAAGAGCACTTTTTTCATGTTGGCCTTGCAGGCAGGAAGTGATCCTTGACACTCCCAGGCCAGGCACAGAGAAGGTGTTTGTGTGAGTGAAAAGAATGAACGTGAGGGCAAGGGCGGCAGGACCCCTCTATTCCTGAGGAGGAACACTGTTCTCACTCAGCCAGGAAGCCTGCAATTACTTTACCCACACCCAGGGGTTTTGAAACCACAGGGAACTGAGTGCCCAGGGTACAAGGAGTCTCTTCTGCCTGGCAGAGACACGGCCTCCGGGTTGACCGAGCATCTCTCTCCTTGCTAGCAGGGGAAGGGAATGCTCCCTAAGGGGTGATGATCAGCTTTCTCCAATGCCCGGTTAGAGGGGGCTGCCAGGAGGCGAGTGGGGGAGTCTCACTGAAGGTCGGGCACTTGCCTTGCATGTGGCCAGTCTGAAGCCCAGAACACAGCTTCCTGCCTATGAGCTCAGGGCATTTATTTATCTTTCTGCACCATCTCTAGGGGACTTTAAATCTTCTATCTTCCGAAGGAGGCACAGAGATGAAATGCCACTTGCTCACACCCAGAGCCGGTTACCTGTTCTTTTCTTTTTTCTTTTTTTCTCTTTTTTGGGTCACACCCAGCAATGCTCAGGGGTTGCTCCTGGCTTTGCACTCAGGAATTACTCCTGGCAGTGCTTGGGGAACCATATGAGATGCTGGGAATCGAACCCGGGTCGGCTACATGCAAGGCAAACGCCCTACCTGCTGTACTATCGCTCCAGTCCCACCTGTTCTTTTCCTGCCTCCAGGTTCCCACCACAAAATCTCCCCCATGGCTCTATGCCCGTCACGGGGGTTCTTTAGAGTCCTCTGCCTGGGGCCCTCCACTGCTGGGCCACAACAGACTTAGAGCAATGGCCAAGGGCATTCTGAGGGCACCCCGGCTCCAAGGACAGACCCAGTGCCTGGGTAGGTGCCTGTCACAAGAGCACAGGCGAATGCACTGTGGGCTCCGAGCTCGGGTGTGAGGGGCGGGGGGGAGGGGAGTAGGAACCGACTGGTGAGCTGGAGCTGGAATGCCAGCTATGTTATCTGATGCATTCACTAGCTGAACAGAACCCAGGCATCACCAGGCAGATGCACTTTGCCATCCCTTGTGGGGCTCAGCCGGGCTTCCCAAGGCAGAGGCATTCCAGGCCGAAGAAAAGGTCCCTTTGTCTGGAACTGTAAGAGTTCAGAGTCGCAGACAAAGGGTTCAGTTTCAGTCGGAATCCAAATAACGCTCAACAGCCTTTTCATTCAATGGGCTGAGGGAGAACGGTTTCCAAAGCAGGACTTTCTGTGAAGCCACCGCACTCCCAGCTTCTGAGTCAGCTCAGGGCAGGGAGGCCTGGGAACGGAGCCACGTTCAGAAAGGGCAGAGCCAAAGGGCCCCGGTAGGCAGGGGTCAGCGGGGCCATGGCAGCGGGTGGCTCTGGTATCCAGTCTGGTGGGTGATTAGTGGTCCGGGCTGACTCGATCTCCCCTGGCTCTGGCTGGCAGGTAGGAAGTCTCTAGTCTCTAGGGAAACTTGGCGCTTGCTTTTGTTGTTTTTAAAACTGTTTTTTGGTGGGATGGGGATAGAACCTAGGGTCTCGCTCACACACAAGGCAAGTGTTCTCTTGCTGAGCCCCATCCTCCCTCGGGTTGGGAGTGCAGAAGTCACTCTTAGGGCAGATCTGAAGTCTGACTCATATGTAAATATGGAGCTGACTTTTGGATCCAAGCCTGAAGCCCGACTCAGAAGGGGTGAGGGGCCATGGTTCTCTGTGGTCGGTCCTCAGCTCTGAGAGGGGAGCTGGGACCTCAATATTCTTGGTCCCATCCCTTCTGGAAGCTTCCTCGGATGATCAGGTTCCTTGTCTGTGAGATAGGTGCCAATGCTGGACCCGAGGGTGCGAGGGGGGGAGGAAGTACGTGTCGAGTGAGACATGGGGTCGGCAGGGGAGCTTGGTCACTGGCATTTTCTCTAACTCACACCTGATCCATTCCCACCCAGTCAGTAGTCAGAGGTAAGGACTCTGAGGGATGGGGACAGCGGGAGATTGTGATGCTAATACAGAGACCCCTATTGTGGCACTTGGTGCTGTGAGCAAGGCTGAGTTCTTCCCTAGCTATTTATTTATTTATTATTTATTTATTTATTTATTTATATGTTTTTGGCAGGAGGATCAGGGGACAGGCATGCCTGCTGATGCTCAGGAATTACTCCTGGCTCTGTGTTTAGGAATCACTCCTGTTGCAAGTCAGGAGGGATCAGCCCTCCTCCTCCTCCTCCTCTGGTATCAGATCCCTGATTCTGATGAACTGTTGTGTAATCAGAGGATCTCAGGACCTCAGGGCACAGCTTCCCACCTGCAGCCTAGCCTGGGGTTCCCAGGCCCTGCAATCTTTCTCCAAGACAGCTTTCTTATCACTTCCTCCAGACCACTGACCCTGTGACATCACAGGCCCAAACTCCACTGTTTCCCAAACACCCTGTGGGTCTCTGACTAGGAGATCTTGCCACACTACTTTGAACACATCTGTCTGCTATCAGCCTTCCTCCACAAACCTTGAACTCCCTGAGGGGGTGGAGGGAGGGAGTGGGGGCAGGGATCCTGTTTTATTTATCTCTGCATCTTCCTGATTCCCCAGACTCTTAAGTGGCTCAGAAGAGATTCTCAAAACTACAGGGTCAATGCTTGAATTTGGGCCGGGTCTTGGCTGACCTCCTCTCACTTTTTGTAATCACCCGATAGCAGCCATCACATCTAAGTCATTTTCCCCATTAAAGAAGGGAGAAAGTGACATTTCAGCCTAAGTATCTGATATAATTGTGCATATGACCGTCCCCCTCCTATTTTCAAGATCATCCCAATTCTAGCTATATCCATTGCTGCTGCCAATGTCCAAACTTTCTTAAGTCCTCCCTCAGACTTACCAGTAATGTCGGCATGCATTTGCACAAAGAGGGGATTCTTGCTCAGGCCTCCACACAGGAAGAGAGTGTGGATGGAATGTCCTGCAGTCTCCATGGCTTCCACAATGAGGCGGGTCCCAAACTGAAAGAGAACCACGGGAAACAGTGTCACAAGGAGAACTGTGAAGGCACGCTGAACAGTCCTTACTCTGCACCTCCGAAAGCTGAGGCTGGAGGGATTAGGCTGCCTCTGATCACTGTTAATTATGGCACAGAGTGAGAATTCCAACCTTCCCTACCCATCTCCTTAATCCTCCTGATTTCTAACCATTAGTTTCTATCAGTAGTTATACAACACTGACAATGCAGATCATATTAATTGAGTTTATTTGAACCAGTATGTGGTAAGTGACATCAGTGGCCCAGATCCTCTCTGTTGGTTCTGGGAGGAAAGGAATCAACAGCCACATCACCCCTCAGGATGTGGAATGATGAATGGCTTCTGGCAGGCAGGTCAGTCTACCTTCCTGAGATAGGAGCTAAGTTTCTTCTCTGGAAAAGACACTCACTATGATACAGCAGAAACATGGGGAAGGAATTGTATAAAGGTGAGACCCAGACTTCAGGCTGGCAAAGGGCTGGAGTGATCCTCATCCTCACCCCAATGCCTCCGTCTCCTCCTTGTGTGGCTGCTTTTACCAAACTCAATATAAATGGTTGATGCTGAAGAAGGAACAGATAGGGCAGGATCACAAAAGTGAATCTTGTCAGAAAGTGGTTTAGTTAAAGTGAAGCTATTCAGACTGCTACCTATTGGAATGTTCACAAGTCATACTTTATTTAGAGCAAGGACAAAACACAGGAAGATGAGGTGTGGGCTGGATGCAGGCCCAGAGCTCTTTGAGAAGGGGGAGGCGGGGCAAGTGTAAGAGTAGGGGATTGTCAAAGAGACCTTCCAATGTCTAGACACAGCACTTGCCTGACCATCAAGTCCCAGGATGGGAGGTACCTGGGAAACAAAGAGGTCACAGAGGGGGCAGCCACCCAGGAAGAAGGAAGGGCTTGAGTGCAGGGAAAAGGTGAGCTGCTGTTACAGTCCTAGCACTTTCACTAGCAAGGGAAACTGATGCTCAGAGAACAAGACCCAGGTGGGGGATGTAGGGAGGGCCTGGGTTGCTTCTGGGAGTAGGTGGCTGTGGGATTACCTGGGAACCCTGGAGTATGAGAGCCACATAGCTGTGGGTGGGATAGGGGCACACGGGGGCAAAAACATAGTGGTCTCAGACTAGAGGTCCAGAGTTTACTGGAGCTATGAGTGAATCTGGTAAGAATATGGATTAGGTGAAATTTAGGTCTTCATAGATAATCCACAGATGTGGTGTGTTTAGAAGAAGAACAAGAAGAAGGAAATGTGTTGTACAGTATAAGGCCAGGCCCTGCTTATTACCAAACATGGCTGATTAACCCCAGATGTTCTTTCTTAAGCTTTTGCGGGGTCATGAACCTTCCTGAGAACTGATAAAAACTACTGACCTCTTCAGGGAAAAAAGTTACAAAATTGGATTAGAAATGGTTTTAGGTCAACAGACGCCCTTACCTCCACTGTGGGTCACTGGAGGTCCAAGAATTGTGGGTGACCCCAGTCCACTCAAGGGGAAGGGATCTACAGCAGTGAGAGAGGCCTGGCATTTTGAACTCAGAGATAAAACCTGAGGTTTTTTATTTTTCTCTTAAGTAGCCCCTAGTCATGGAGACTGTATCCCTTTGACATGCAAATCCTGAACTCACCCAGATGCAGAAATCCAAGGCCCCACCCAGAGAATGGTGGATTCCTCAGTAAAGGCGAAGATTTGGAAGAATCTAAGAGATTATAAAGAGACCATCTACAGTGTGAGGGATAAGATTATGAGAAGACCATCAACAGAGCAAGGCTTTTTTGTGACAACGTCCAGACTGCCTCTTACATATGCAGAGAGCTTCAGAAAAAAATACACTTGGGGAAATTGTATATAAGCTCTTCCTGTAAACCTTTGGGGACTTACTCTCCAAGTCTGTGTTCTCCCTGGAACACATATTTCTTTCCTTCTCCCCACCTTGTATCTTTCTTATTTTCAGTCAATAAAAACTTCCCTGCTTTAGTACTTCACCTCTCTGGAAATTTTTTTTTTCTGTGAGAAAAAGGCAAAGGACCTGGAATATAAGGAGGATTTTTTTTGTTTTTGTTTGAAATTTGCATTTCATCTGTAACTAGCATTCAAAACCACACCTAATCTAAGACTACTCTCTTTTTAAAATGGGAACACCTCCTCTTTGAAAATTGCATGCATGATCAGAGATGTTAACAAGCAAACAATATTTAAAATGAGGCTTGAGGTGTGATGAAATGTAATAACAACTTGCAGAATTGCTACTGTACATTGTTTACAATGTGTGTAAACTTTTAGAGGAGGGTCCAGCTCCTGGAAGATATTTAGGCATGAACACGATTCTGCTTATTAGGTAAATACTAGGGGTGGCACTGGGGACTTCAATATCATTGTTCATCAATGGCAAGCTAAAAACCAGAGCGTTGCTATTGTTTGAGGAGTTATATAATTTGCCTAAGGTAATACTGCATGTGTGGGTGCATGTGTATGTATGTATGCGTGTGGGCTGGAGCGACAGCACAGCGGGTAGGGCATTTGCCTTGCACGCAGCCGACACTGCCGACCTGAGTTCGATTCCTTCACCCTTCTCGGAGAGCCCGGCAAGCTTCTGAGAGTATCTCGCCCGCATGGCAAAGCCTGGCAAGCTACTCGTGTTGTATTCGATGTGCCAAACACAGTAACAAGTCTCACAACGTTACTGGGCCCACTCGAGCAAATCTATGAACAACGGGAGGACAGTGACAGTGACAGTGTTTGTGTGTGTATGTGTGTATAAGGGGAGAGCTGTCTCCCAATATCCATGAAAATGTCATGCAAGATTAATATTTTTGATTTATTAATTGCATGATTAATTTCAAGACTTGGGAATTGGGAGATCATGCAATTTGCAGGCCTGAGACGAGAATAATACAAATACAAAGCTCATTTCCAGGGAAAAGGCAAGAAAGATGGAACAAGGGGTGCTCCCAGAGGGGCAGGACGGTCTTTTCCAGGCTGCACTGTGGGCTGGAATTTCCCACTCAGGCAGGGCCAGTGGCTAAGTCCAGGGCATTCCCCTTTAGGGGTCCCAGTCACCATTCTGTAAACCACCCCAGCCCCCACCAAAGGGCTTTGTGCTAAAATGATTCTGTGCTCACCTTTCTGGAAAAAATGTTTTCACAGAGAAATTTAAATTAAAATTGGGTGATTCCATGGGGAATGTACAAGCCGAATGCAAATTAAGAGCGACTTCAAATGCAAATAGTACTTTTTAAGGGTCTGTTCTGAAAAGAAAACTATACAGGGAACAGACAAGGGGATAAACCAGGGGTTTGACAGGTCTTTCAATTAAGCTTGATCAAGAGAGAATTTTACTTCATGGACGGTTTCACACAGTCCCAACTTAACTTCCTTACAATATGGCCCTAATTTCATTCTATTCTTACAAAAGCCCAACCACTAATATTACTGAAAGAGAGAAATTTGTTTAATTTTAACTTATCAATGACAATGGGTGCCTGTGTAATATTCAGAGCCCATGAAACAAAGCTTATTTTTGTTTTCAACCTGAACATCATGTGAAAATACCACCTTATCAGACTACTTTGTTACAATGGACATTTTGGCCCAAAAGATCAGTACTGCTTGGGTACTTCTGCACAACAGAATGAACTCACAATTCAATGGACACCACCATAAAGTCTTACGGAAAACTCTCTGACTTAAATTTTGTTCCCTTCATATTATCATAAAGGTCATTAGGACAACGGACAGAATAAATGTGATAGCTCTAAATACATTAAATCCATGATGATTTTTCAAGCATGCAGATTTGAGAAAATATTAGCTTGCTTTTCTCCCCCTTCTCTCAGTACCTCCCTACCCCCAGCATTAAGTTTAACCTCATTTCTATGTTTTTCACCTTCTGCTGCAGTGTTCCCAGGAATATTTCTGTGAGGTTCTTTGGAATGCCTGAAACTTATTCTGTTTTGTCCTGATGCAGTGTGCTGCTGTGTAAAGAATATAAGTCTGGGAGTGATGGATAGAGTCAAATTCCAGGTCTCCCATGCACTAGTATGCCTGGTCTAGGCACACAGATCTCACTCCATCTGTGAAATGAGGCATCCCAAGTATTTATTGACTTCTTGTCCTGCACCCCAAGTCCCATGTAGGTGAGCCACTCTATTTGCTGTCCGGTCCAGTGAGTAGAACCAGGCAACACATTACCTTTGTGGGATGATGCCCCTTGCCCATCCTATGGCCTGGTTTTCCACACTGCCTCTTTATATATCCTCAAAAAGAAGCATCACTTAACTCTTATTTTCTAGGAGTACTTATGTTAATGCAAGCAACTCATTCCACTGTAAGACTCTGTGCACAATGACATTAACAGATCAGAAAACAAAAGCTCTTAATATTGCATGTATCTAGCTTTATTTTAGAAAGCTATGGCTCCAAGTCCCAGCCCTCTCTCTTACTAGCTGCATAAAAGAGCGAGTCAATTGGTCTTACTTGAGGCTTACACTTCTAATCTGCGGAATGGCGATTATAATTCCTTCCTAAGGGTGACTGTGATAATGTGCATAAAAAATTTACATTGTGCCTGGTACATAATGGACCACATGTGTATTACTTGAATATCATGAGCATCATCATTCCTATAAAACAGAATCCACTAAACATCTTTACCACTGATGTACAGTTTCCACCCCTCCCTACCTTACCCCACCCCCCCACCCCGCATTCTCTCCCCATGTTGATAGATGTCAGAAGTGTCTGTTTTGGACCAAGTTCCCATAAATAAAGCAGGCTGATTGATTTCACTGAACTGTCCAAGCTCTTAAATCAGTAAGCCAGCTGCCTCAGTAAGATACAGTCTAACTGCTCCATAAACTAAAAGCACTGTTTAATCAGCTCCCACACTTTTATGTAGTTGCATTAAAGACCACATATTCCCTTAGTGGCTGGGAAGTTCTACTCTCTAATCATATACGCACTCCTTCAAGACACATACAAACATAAGGGAAACCAGAACATAAGGGAAATCAAGATAGCCATATGGGAAGAAAAAAACCATGTAGTTCTATTATTTGGATCAATGAGGTTATGAAAGTAAACAAACAAAACAACTAAATAGCATATAAATATGTGCATACAGAATTAAGAGAAAAAGTACTTTAAGAGCTGTTCTAAAAAAATAAACTCTACATCAGAACTGAGTGAACTTTCTCTTGGTCCCCATTCTATTTTGGGGCATACCTAAGTCTCAGATTATTCCTGGGTGGTTCCTATCAGTGATCTGATCCTGGAACTCAGGACAAACACCCCCCAAAACATTTCCCTGCATATGCACAAATATAATCGTCTGTGTCTCACTTTATGGTTCAGCATCCTTTTATAACCCACTCATAGATTATCCTCTGGAGTACAGGTTTCCTTAGACATTGATATATGAGCTTCTGAAATTTTGTTTTTATTTATCTCTCTCCTTCATCCCACCTACCGCAGGGCTGGGGATTGAACCCAGGACCTCAAATATCCAAAGAAAGATTTCTTCTGCTAAACTATATCCCAGACTTTCGTTTTCATTTTTGATTGACATTCAGTTGAGGAGTTCCCAGCACTTTAGATTTACATTTCTCCTTTCCTCTCTCCCTAACATTTTCACCTCTTATTCAAGTAGTTAACTATCTAAAAACACATTATGAGAAGCTTATTATTTAAAAGAGCCCTATAATGAATGCTTTTGCCGAGTGAGCAATGCCATGTGTTGTGTAAATCTGTACTTTGTTCACACTGGCTTTTCTTAATGCCAGCATATATGGCATCTGCTTACTTCTACTTAATTAACCTTGGAAGACAAATTAGATAAATGACAATGTGGTGTTTAAAGACTTTAACTCCTTTCAGCTTTCAGCTGTGAGAGGTTATTAGTATAGCAGGTGAAACCCTCATTCAACATTTCTTTATAGAGACACAACCATCTCGAATTTTGGCAAGTTCTCTTTCAACTGAGAATCTCTGCCTCAGAAGCAGATGCTGGATCCTGAGGAGTATGTGGTCTAAAGTTTACTGATAGCCCCAAGTGGGCCATTCTTGAAAAGGGTATTCATATGTCTTACGGCAATGGCTTGAACTGTGGCCAGGTAAAGAACAGCAAGATCGTCCAGGTCCTGAGACAGCTGCAGTCCAGAGACCTGTAGGAAAGAAGACAACAGTCAAAAGGAGCCGCCACAATCAGATATAGTCCCCAGGAAACACATTCTGATCTATTTCTCCCTGAAGCAAGTTCATATGCAAATCCCCTTTCTGAGGTGCCCAATATGAAAGGCCTAAATTGCTTAATCTTCAGACCTTGGAAACACTAGTCCTTCTTAACTCAAAGAAAATGTCAGGAATGATGAAACAGTGATAAAACAAATCCTAGAAAAAGAGTGTCTGATATATCCTTGCATGGAAATAAACATCTTGCATCTTAATAAAAGTCTTTTTTTTTTTAAATGCCAAATACCCACTTTCTTCAGTTTTCAGAAATCAACATGTTACAGAGGTATTCTGGTAAAAGATGATTCCAGGGTCTGGAACGATAGCACAGCAGGTAGGGTGTTTGCTTTGCATGTGGCCCACTCAGGTTCAAATCCCAGCATCTCATATGATCCCCTGAGCACCGTCAGGAGTAATTCCTGAGTGCAAAGCCAGGAGTGACCCCTGTGCATTGCCGGGTGTGACTTCCCTCCTCCCAAAAAAGATGATTCCATTCAGAGTTCTGGAGCTACCAGAAATCAGTGAAACAGCATCTGGGTGGGGTTGGGAGCTTCCTATGTAAAAGGCTGTTTCTCCTATCAATGTTAAATGACTAGGGGATAATTTAGAACCTACGTCTGGCAAGGGAATCCCATTAAATCAATGGGATCCACATGCCTATGTGGGATATGTCAGTCTCTGAGAAATGATAGAACTGAACAGGATACCGGATGTGGAGGACATCAAAACACAGCACCTCCCACCCCCCACATTCCCCACTTTCAATCTTCCATTCATTCAGATGTTGAATCCAGACTGACAGAGAGATGATCAAGTAGTAGAATACCTGCCTAGCATAGAGGAAGGCCTTCCATTAATCCTCCTCACTAAAGCCCTACCCCCAATACTACTGGGTGTGGCCCCAATTTTTTTTTTAAACATTCTTGAGACAATTTTCTTTGAGCCTCATCTGAATTTTGTGGGTATTCTTGCTTTGGATAATAACATCAAAAACAAAGTCAAGGGTTAGTAAACTAAACCTGTGTTTACTTGGGGCCTAAGTTCAATGAGGTTACGTGCAGTCTACATCAAATCAGGAGAGCTGAAGGTCTTCCCAGGATGCTGACCTTCTTTGTTTCAGACATCCCTCACCCCCACCATGATTCTGGGTCAGTGTTGACTCGTTATAGATACAGGAACCATTCACCAATCAGACACCAGGGAGAGCTCTTTCCTGACTCTCTTCCCAAGTTAATCAGGCTAAACTATCCTGCATTTTGTCTCCCCAATATCCTTTTGATGCATCCCCTTCTCTTTAATCTCACTCTCCCCTCCTAAATCCAGGTCATGGCAAGTCCCTCCTAACTACTGAAGGAGCCCTGGGCTCACCTCCCCATCTCTAATATTATTCCTCCCTACCAAGGAGCTAAAGATTACCTTCAAGTGCAAAGTGGATCAGGTCACTCCAGTTTTTAGAATTTATTCTCTGGGCCAGAGAGATAGCATGGGGTTTATTCATTCCCTGAAACCACATAGAATCCCCTAAGCCCTGCCAGGAGTGATCCTTGAACACAGCGCTAGGAGTAAGCTTTGAGCCTGTGGAGTCTGGCCTCAAAATAAACAACAACAACAAACCACTAGAAGCAAATTCATTTTCTTCCACGTGTGAAAATACCTTCTCTTTCCACATTTTTTTCCTGGGATCACCCCACTTATTTAGCCCTCTGCAATGCCTTTCCTTACTGGGCATCCTAAGCTCCAGCTATTCAGGTGACCCATTTAAGCTTCCTGAATTCAGGAGGGTTACCTGCTGGGCAAGTTTATGGGCAAATAATTGGGCAGTCAGAGAAACTCCTCTATTGCTCTCACTGCAATCAAGGTGATCCAGTGATAAACCAACAGTGGGCACTATTTAATATCTCATTTACTCTCGACTGAAAGAGAAAGGATACAGGAAGAAAGAACACCAGAAGGAGCCAAAACAGTGAATGTGACTTCTAGTTCAGCTCATCTCCCCATTCTGTTTCCATCCATTCCCTCCCACCCCCTCCACACTTACACTCCCTCATCAGAGACAGTAGCCCCCTGACTTCACAATGATCCAAGAATGAATTACAGAAAGGGCTCCCCACCAGGTTAACTGAATGCATAAGTCATGAGAGATAAATTCTAAAAGGAAGCAGAGTAAACAGGCTTTTCTGCTCCTTGGGTTGGATACCCTGAGTAAGCCTCCCTGTGCAGGGGTCCTGGGTAAAAGTCATAAGGTTTGAATATTGCCTCATGTCTGGCGGCAACTTTGCTCCTGTTTTTTTGGAGAAGCAAACCGCATCAGAGCTTCAAGAGCCTGTGAAACAGTCCTGGAAGCTGGCTACCTCTGGCTTTCACTTGAGGGTCACTATTGTGCTGTGAACCAGGTCAGGATTCTTGGGGTGCCTGGCAATGGATCTACTTGGCTGACTCCACTCTCCTTACCGGTGGGTATCCTGATCTATGACTAGATCTGGATAAATTGTAATTTTGTGAGAGGTAGGAGGGAGGAGAGAAACTTGACTTTGTATATACAATTATCCTATGAATTTATAGGAAAAATGATGCTCTGCTCAATAATACTGAGAATTAAGCCCATTCCAACACATTTCTCAATTAGTAAGAACCCGCAAAAAAAAAAAAGTGTGCACTACCAACAGATTTAGTTGATTCTTTTTTAAATTCCAAAATATTTCCATGAGAACTTCCAAAAATTATTGATGGCCCAGCAAAAATCAAATCAAATCAAATCAAATCAAATCAAATCAAATCACAGATCTTGTTTTAAGTTTCTTGTGATTTTGGAGCTTAGAAATCATAGTGAGGCCAGGGAGATAGTATAGGAGTTAGGGAGCAAGCCCTACATAGTCCTAACTTCAGTTTGACCACCAGCACCAGCGGGCCTCCTGCCCCTAAAGCATCACCAGGTGTAATTCTGGAGTTTCCCAAGCATTACCTGCCAGGTGTGGAGCTGGTGGGCCACAAGCATTGCTGGAGTGACCCCATGGTCTCTAGCAACGCAGAGTCTGAGTAGGACTGGATTTTCTCCCCTAACATTGAACCACCAGTCTGATCAGCCCAGAAACACAGGGATTGGCCCTCCTGTGCCCTGAAAAAAATACCTAGAAGGCTCCTAAACCACAGAACTTGGAAGATAAAAGACCATTTTTTTCTCCCCAATTTGAGAACAAGATAAGCATGTAAATTTATCTCTTGATTCTGATGGAGGGCGTGGTGTTGGAAGGCTGGATGTGTAAAACCCTATCATTAATAGTATTGTAAATCAGTGTTATAAATGAAAAAATAAATATACAAAATTACCTCTTGAGTTTGCTAGTAGATAGGGTAAAAAGGGATAAAGAGATACCTTATATGTGACACAGATTATATTGTTTCCCCCCTCCAGTCTCTGTTTTGGGCCACACCAAGGTGTGCTCAGTGGAACATGTACTGTTTCTTTTTATACAAATATTTTTCATTTATTCACTACATAGCTACTCAGTGTTTATAATATACAAGAACTGTCACTGTCACTGTCCTCCTGTTGTTCACTGATTTGCTCTAGCGGGCCCAGTAATGTTTCCATTGTGACAACTGTTACTGTGTTTGGAATATTGAATACGTAACGGGTAGCTTGCCAGGCTACAAGAACATTTTTTAAAAATTTTTGTATTAGTGAATCACCGTGGGGAACAGTTACAGATTTACAAACTTTTGTTCTTGCATTTCAGTCATACTTTTTTTAAAAAAAAAAGTGAATCATTGTGATATAGTTATAAAGTTATTCATGATTGAGTTTCAGTCATACAATATGTCAACACCCATCCCCAACCAGTGTACATTTTCTGCCACCAATGTCCCCAGTTTTCCATCCTGCTTGCCTTTTCTATGGCAGACACTTCAATCTCTCTGTATCTGTCTTTCTCTGTCTCTCTCTGTCTCTGTCTCCATCTCTCTCTCTCTTAATTTCCCTTTGGGCACTGTCATTTGCAATACTGTTTCCAAAAAGGGTATCATCCATATCACTTTACTTCCTTTCAGCACTCAAGTTTTGTCCAGAGTGATCATTTCCAACTATCACGATTATGGTGGTCCCTTCTCTGTCCTAACTGCAATTCTCCTCCCATTGGTGACAAACTTCCTACCCTAGACCAGTCCTCTTAGCCCTTGTTTTTACTGTCTTTGGGTATTATTCACACAATAATTTAAAAATTTTTTTCTTAATTTCTCACAAATGAGCATCATCATTCTATGTTTGCTTCTTTCTCTCTTAATCATTTCATTTAGTCATATGCTTTTATGCTCCTTGGTGTCCATATGCAGTCCTGTAAACGGAAGTAGAATCAGCTGCATGCAATGCAAGTACCTTATCTCCCGTACTATCTCTCTAGTTCCACTGTATTTTCATTTTATTTTATAAATAAGATATAGTCATCTCCAACATTTTCTTAACACTAATACAGGTCATGGAGTTGAAATGTAACACAATTAAAAAAAATTTACTCTAATGTGTGGTGTTACTGTGATCTGAGGTCTCTAATTTCTTTACAATCCACACATGAAATGCACAGAAGCATAAAGAAGAGCAAATGGTCCAGTTGATTCTCAAAGCCCTGGATCTCAGTCTTGCCTGGGAAAAGGTAAGTGGCAGTCAGTCCAAAATGAACTTCTCTACAACCTGCATTGTGGAATAGTGGGGAGGGGACAGACAGACTCAGGTTGGGTCTTGATGAGGTAGAGGCAGCAATGACCTGGTCATGTCAGGGATGTCCTAGGGGAGGTACGGCTTGTAACTCGTGAGAGAAACAGTCCAGAAAGCCCATATTCCTGGCAGAAAGCAGAACGTTCCATTAATGAGAAGTAGTGGGAAAGAAATACACAATGGAAGTAGCGAGCTTATTTGGGTCATGGTCACGGTCCTCCTGTT